TTTGTTGTTGTTAATCGTTTCGCATTTGTTGTGTCCTTATTCCCCGCAGGCTTTGGTTCGATTATAGATACCACGATTACACACTATTTTACCTTGAAGTAATATAAAAACGATTACTTCTGGGTATTTCTAAGACCTACTATATTACCATATTACTTAATGTCTACGATGATTCACAATAGTAAAAAGTAAATAGCTATAACGCACCAACTTAATAATATTGTGAAAACTATTAAAAAAATTTAACGAAATCTAGGTAGTTCAATTTATACTATCAATTAATGTATTCATAATTCGTATGTAAATAGATTATGGATCAAGGGCACATTCATAAACAATTAATGGGTATGGATGGGAAATGTGTTATCGTTTTCCCTGCTCTTTTATTGGGTGCACGAAATAATATTTTAAAAAACATTAAACTATTACTCAACACGCATTATAAACTTAGTTTGTGCATTAATTCAACTCGTAGTTAATCTAAAACCAAAATATTCATTATTCACTAATGATAACATTATGCAACTAAAAAAGCAAAAAAATATGACACTTGGGCATGGTTATAAATACTAAAGAATAGTGTTTTCCAATAGGTCATAAAAACTGTACCAAATATAAAATTCTTCGGCATCCTACTTTCAAAGTTTGGCATTTTAAATGACAAAGGTCAAAATGAATTTGATTCACAAACAATAATTAACACCCAACGAACTCACCTATATTTACCTGGTAAACGAAGACGACTATGTTAAAATACATAATAATTTCACTGTAAGAAAGGTAGTTGCAAAATAAACTTAAATATAATCTACTATTACAGTAAGTTGTACAATATAACAATTAAGGGGATTGGTAACGGACAGTTATTTTAGCCAAAACATATCAATATTTTGTTCATCATAGAATATAGATACTGATCGACTTAGTAATGCAATAATAATTTGGAAAACTGATCTGAATTCGTTATTATGTCTACTTGAGATCAGCCAGTCCACTTTTCCCAATTCCATACCCCCCCCCCACCCAACAACTATAAATTTATATTGAATATTTTTAAATATAGGAATTTCCAACCTTTGATTATTCGGAATTTAAACCAGAATCTTAAAATGTGAACTGGCCGATCTCAAGCAGACATTATGACTAATTCAAATCATTTTTCAAAAGTATTATCGCATTACTAGATCGATCTGTAGGATGGACAAAAAGTACAAACTTTTAGTCAAATAACCCACACGTTCTGGATCGTTCACGAGCGCAGGCGTTGCTTGTGTAGTGCGGGACACGTACACACACTAATAATCACTTACTACACACGAAGTCGCAAGTCACACGAGCAAGCACTTTAAATATTGCCTATACTAAACTCCTTAATTAAATACCACCACCGATCCCCTTAAGATAAGATATAAATTAAATCACTATCCCTACAACGGCTGCACTAAGTAGAAAATTAATGTGCAGACCGTTTATACGGTATAGACCGGTTGGACGGTTCTATTTTCCTCCAAAAATGAGATACGGTTTTCCTTCACTGTCCATTTTCTTCTACAAAAAAAAAAGTTGGTTTCCATTTTCGTCCACATTATTTTAGACTGATATATCTTCTTTCCTCCAATATTTTAGCCAGTGTTGTGGTATTACGTACCATATTATACAGATAGAGTAAGGCTAGGATCCAGGGCTTGTAAACGTTATAATCACGTTATATTTGACAACAAAAAGATTGAAAAATGTAAACGTAATCATAATGGAAAGCGCGATAATCAAAAATAATTTAATACCTCAAAACAAAGCGTAACAATTAACAAAATATATTATAAAGGTGTCATTAAATAAAACATAACGCAAAACGTAATTTATAGAATATCATTGACCGAAAAATAACGCAAAACGAAATATTTTAAAATCTATTTATTTAAAAGGTCTATTGGTTTTGTAGAAACAATTATTTCATGCGAAAATCTAAGAATTCATTATATTATATTTCGTATCCATGCCATTTCACCTACCCGAATTAGTTATTATTTTTAAAATTTTATAGGTACTAACACTATTTATAACGATAAACGCAAAACTTGGATAACGTTTTAATTCTGGATAACGATAAACGCAAAAGTTGAATAACGTTTTAATTGTAAATAACATATAAAACAGAATTTTTTTTTCAAATGCAAGCCCTGCTAGGATCGCATTTTCGGTTGATACATTCTGGTATCGGCTATATCTATATCAGCTGTCCATTAAGCCTAATAAAGAATATTTTTTATTTTTTTTGATATGCAAAAATTATTTATATTAACTATTTTATTATTTTATTTATTTTTTATTAGATGAAAATGGAAAGTTGAGGAAAATGGTCAAGAATTTTTTTTTTTTTTTTGGTGGAAAATGGACAGTGGAGGAAAATGGCTACGGCCGACCGATTTATAGACCGGTGAATACCTAATCCCAAAATGTTTGTATTTTTGGGCGAATAGCTTATACCGATCATTCCACAAAAAGTACTACGAATAACTAATAATAGTATGAATAGGTTTATCGGTTAATTATATAGTATAAATGTACGTTGTCAATTTAAAAAAAAAAAGTCGAGTGAGTGGATATCGGTCTGCTGTACGTCAGGTTACAAGTGGGTCACTTTATGATGGATGGTATTAAATTTGAATTCAATGATTGGGGTGTCACCAATGGGTGACTTCCCCCCCCCAGCTAATCATCCCCATCCCATTTACTTATTGTAATATATATTGTAATTACAGATTGTAAATACAATTTTGTTCAATAAAACAAAATAAAATTGCATATACGAAAAACGGTTCTGAGCGGAGACGGCTTGTCAATGTGGATTTTATATTATATTTATATTGTTATTACTTATTAATAATACTGTAGCCGGTAAGTTGAATTATTATTATAAAATTACAACACTATAACTAAAACCATTATTCTTGGTTATTTATAATATGTATTTTCGTCCAAATTTGAACAAAAAATAACTATAAAAAAAAACTGGGTTTAATAATAAGGTATTATTATAATAAAATAATATTTTAAAACATATAATATTTTTTTTTAAGGTTCGGGACTTATGCACCAAAATATTGTTGAAAATATTTACCTAAAAGAACTAAAATAGGTATGTACAAAATTATGCAACTACATTTTTATATGTAAACATGTGCAATAAATATTTTATATATTTCAAGTTCGTTATTTATATCTTACTTTGAATATTCTACAGATATAGCCTATAATTAATGAATAACATGCAAAATGCAACAAGTCAATTACTATATTTTTTTTTTTTAATTACAATTTGTACCTGCAATTAAATGTGCTATTTAGTAATTACTTTAATATTATATTATATTTAACCTTTAATTGTGTAATTGTTTACCTTGTTTCTAAGGATATAAAAATAGTATTTAACAGTGCAGATTACGTTACCTATGTGCATGACAAATAATAAAACAGATTGAGGAAAGTTATTTATTTTTTTTTGATTTTTGTAACCACAAAACGAAAATAAAATAAAACTATCTGGTCAAGCATATTTAAACAAAGGTAAGATATCAATATTTAGAAATTAACAATTCCGTAATTGTTTAGTGTATCTACAACAATTTAAAGTTGTTGTAGATTCTGAGAGGAACGATTAGGTACTAAAGTATTGATTGTGTGTGATTTTTTTGTGTCTTTCATCAACTTTTGGTATGTTGCTCATGTTACTTATCAGTAAAAATGCTTAGATTTTCTACTTCATTTTATTTTCTAATTATAGTTTAACGCTGGGGTGTAAAAATTAAAAATCCCAGTAATTTTTAATAAGCAGAAAAGTTAAAATTAAATTAAGAAAACCCGGATTTTTTATGCAAAACCAGTTTTTGACAAATTAATTTTGTTTTTCCGGTGTAGGAAACTCAAAAATTAATCAAAGTAAATACTTCAAATTTATACTTATTTTTACATTCTGACCATTTTCCATAGAGTTTCCATGTAACACAATCATTACAATGACATGCTCGACAACTACTGTGCAGCAGAGCGATCCACATTGTCCACATTGTCGAGAAATCATTTTTTGATCGGCCAAAAAACTTGAAAATGTATTACGTGGTTTATCATAAGTTTTAGACGGTGTGATTAAAATAAAAGTTTACTAGAAAGGTCACATCGGAAGAAAACCAATTTTAGTAATTTTGTTTTAATGAAAATTTTTTCCTACTTGACACTTTTAAAGTAGGTACCTATATTATTATATTTTATACATGCAATGACAATTACAAATGCAATGTTTTCACAAAATGTATTCAACCTACTTTTTTACTAAAAGTAAAATAAATTACTGTAATATAGTAACAATATCATTAAAAAATACTAAGTAAAGAGCTCAGAATCATTTTTCTTATACAATTATTTTATATTATTGAGTTCAAATGTTACACATCCTTTACAGTGATCTACACGATACTTTTTGTATAGTAGTTACAGTATTTCTGATAACTGATAAGTGATAGTATAACTGTATAAACACAGACGATGAGAATATTATTGATTTTTCCGTAAATAATGTGTTAGGTCAGAAATTAATATAACCCAATTATGTAATATTATTTACAACAGATTCTTATTTTAACCTACCTTCTACATAATATTTTGTGATTGTCAGCACTCTGTATGATAATTATGTACCTACCTATAAAATATATATTGAATGTTCGTCGAATTATCACTAATGGTGAAGATAATGAATGTAAATGATGTATTTTTTGTTAGTTAATAACAATTTGTATTATTTTATATGTTGATAACTAGGTATAATAATTGTGGGTGGTAGCACACACCACGTTTTTTTAAATACATATTATGGGAAACTTAAGTACCTACAAAAAATGCGACTGTGGTTTTATTATTTTCTAATGAAATAATATTAGCTGTATAAGAATATATTATATTATTATTTTTTCTATTTTAATCTCACTGCAGGTTTAGTGAAAATGATCTTACACAAACTTCTTTTACGTCCCAGAACTCTACAAAGTCTTGTTCCCCGAAACGATTTCGGAACACACAAGTAATGTACAATATATTGACGTCATCAGTAAACGATAACTATTTTTATGTTCTAACTTCTAACAACAGATTAAAAGTTTTTGAAAATATTTTTTTTTAGAAAAACTTATTATCGTAGTCGTATTGTGTTCAGCACATTTTTGGTAGCGGTTTTTGGGATTGGATGCGCCTTAACATATGTCAACTATAATCCACAGTTAAGGGATAATTTGAAAAAACAATCAGCAATACTGGATGAAGTTATACAGTTTCTATGGCAAGAGAAAAAGACATTCAAACAGAGGATTGACGAAATTATTCCTCCAAAGGAAAATTAAAACGTATATTCTAAGAAATTCACCTGATATAATATGTTATACTGTTTTGTAGTTTTCTATGATACTGAACGTTTATCGGTAATCATTTTGAATAAAAACTAAATATTAAAGAAAACTGCCAAACTTATCGAAACTGGAGGGGCATTGACTGATAAATCAGTATTACCTAACTATGTGTATAGTTATGTATTAACAAAAAAAAAATCAAAAGCAGGTAAGTGGGTGTTGCTCTGATGTACAGTGGGTCCTCTGTAATGGATTGTGTTCAATTTGAATTCAATGATATAAAATCATTGTACCTATACGAAAAACGATATTGAGCGAAGACGGCCGTCAGCCTATAATATTACTAAGTATATATTATTTTGATGATATTATTGTGGTTAAAGTAATTTATTTTACTATTAGGCATTAGTACCAACCAGTGCTGGATCTATTAAATTTACCTAACTGGGGCTAATAAAAATGCAGCTCCTTGCGTAGGTTGAGGTACGGGATGTGCCGTGTGTCAACACAAAATATTTAAACGCAAATCAAAAAATATATATTTATTTATTATTAAATATTTTTTTGAATCCGTTGTTTCCATATGTTTTCGAAAACTGGGTACACTATATAACTTACTTACCTACATTACTCATTATCCTAAACATATTTTAGAGTTCTATAAATAGGAGATTGATGATCCAATAGTATAGTTTCATATCCCGCAACAGAATTGAAAAATATGTATAGAGTACAGTAGTACACATATGGTTTAGTACAGAGTATGTCAATATTATACTTGAACTAATTAAATGTACATTATTCGAAAGTATTTGAAAGAATTCTTATAATAGTATAAAATATATTAACATTATAAAATTTTCCAACAATAGATGTTTTGGATTAAAATATAATGTCAACCGAAAAAAAAATCTGACACTAAATGACCACGAATTAATTAATATTGGTCAAACTGTCAAGTTATAATAGAATAAATAAAATGTATTTTTGTAGGTACTAACAGTAATGACTAACGAGTTTTCGGTAATTGTTTATGTTTTTTACTCAAAGCTCAACGTTTGCTTAATTACTACCTGTACATTTAAAAAAAAAAGTAATGATCTTTTATAGTATCAACTGAAGAGTTCAAAAAACAATGTTTTAAATATCCCAACACTGATTAAATGTATTAAATTTAAATAAAAATATATAATTTAATTTGGCAACAATGGTTTCTGTTTTTTAAAATAAATAAAGAGGTTATTGTGATTTTGGTGAAAAATGGGTTTCATTCAATACAAAAATTTTCAATTTTTCTAATTTTTCAGGACAACTCTTTTTTTGTTTCTCTAATTTTCAAATGATTTATTCCCGTATGCATAATCAATGTATTCTTCTGAAAATGATTTTGGACAAAACGTTCCTTTTCCAATAATAGGAATACGGCCTTTTATGAATAAAAACTGGAATAACCGGCATTTGGAAAAAAATCAAATCAATTTATATCCATCGTAATATTCCTGACAAATATTTCCCTTGATTCATTGTTCCTGACGAACATTAAGCGCTATCGTCGACACCGGCCATGGGTGCTTAGTTAGGAACTCGTGTGACTTACGAGTTAACCATCGGCGTTCAACGTATTAAATAACGAATGACTATTGACTGTGTAATACATATTATTATTTTTTGGAAATAAGTATAATTTATACATATTTTATGTTCATAACATTTTTATTTTTCATAAATTTAAGTGCCCTTATACCAACAGCACCCGGAGCCAGGATAACCTACTTGCCCCCCCAACCCCATCGCCTAGATATGGTACTGAGCACAACAGCGGGTTAAATTAATTTTAGGCAAAAAAGTATATTTGAAAATATAATAATATATTCTAAAAGTTTCATATTTCCACGAATAATATTTTTAAATTAGAATAAAATAACTAAAATTTTTATCCTTGGTTTTGATATGCAATTTCGTCCAAATTTGAACTTAAAATGTCTGTAAAAAATAACTGTGGTTATATAATTTTTAGATTTTTTGGTAACAGTATGAACTATTTATGAGAATCCGTTTTAAATTTTTAATCCTCACCTATAATAATAAAATTGAACATTTTATAATTGTTTAACTACTTTTTTTAATATATTTTCTACTTTTCGAGCTTTTGATAAAATATGATGAAGTCAACTTTTGAACTTAAAATTCTTATAAAAAAAATTGTGCTAATGGATCTTTAATAGATTTTATCAACTGCTAGGTACCTATTATAATAACTTATAAGGAACCTTGTATTACATTTTTAAGTCTTTTAATCCAACGAATAATTTTTTTGTATAGAATAAAAAATTTAAAATGTCTATAAATAACTCAAAACAAGTCAAGATATTTTGAAAATTGGATCGACGTGTATAGTTATAATAAGTGATAAAATAATTATTCAATACAAATTTCAAGTAGGTACCATATACCATGCCATCTGTTAATAGTTTTTGAATTATAACAAAATAATAAAATTGTTCCATGAGAATATGTTAATTCACTGGTGAATGTCTAACTTCAAACGATTGTAAAAATTAATTTGAATTTCCGTTAAATATTTTTTTTTTGTTAAATGTAAGAAAATTTAAGTGGAATCTTTTATGAAAATTTCAAATCTTAGATTTATACTTAGAAAAATTTTATGCGTTACTAACTTTAAATAATTTGCCACTTTTTGTGATTTTGATGAATTTTATAAACATTTTTTCTCCGCTCTGAAGCTAAAATAAAAATAATAATATGTATTATACAATATACATATATGTAACATGATGGCATTTGCTGCTGGTAATATTATAATAGTATTATAATAACGTTATACTAATATTATTCGTTATTATAATATTATAATAATATTATTATAAACAAAAATCGAGAGAGTCGAGAACGAAAATTGAACCCATGTGGGCTATGACTATTTTGTCTACTGACAATATATTGCTGTTTATAAATATAAACATTTGAAATATAAATAATAATAAATATACATGAGCATAACCCAATTAGTTTTAATTTAAAAATAACCTATTCTAGTAAATGGTTATGTAATATCGACAATAATTTTTATTTTTATTATATTTATTATTTAATTATTTATAAATTAACTTAACTTGAATTTTATTAAAAGTAACTTGTTATTCATGAAGTTTATATCAATTAAAATAAGTTGAGTTAAAAATTCAGTTAATGAAAACTAAATTTTAAAAATTTAAGTTAAAAGTTAAAATTAACTTAACTTATAACTTTTTAACTCGTTTATGCCCAGGCTTGGAAAAAACTGTTTTTTTGCCCGCCAATTTTACTCCCTTCGTATTTATAGGGGAAACGCATTGGAAAAAACTTCATCTGTGTCTTAGTATTTTCATTTTTTTGATAGCACCAACTAAATGTTTTTAATAATGAAATGAAAAAAAAACCAAATAATTTTGACCAAATAACCTCAAAAATATATAATTTTGATTTTTTACAGATATTATAAGTTAAAATTTGGTCTAAAATCAAAATTTGATATTTAAACGAAGAATAACGATTTTAGTTATTTTGTTGTAAATCAAAAATATTTAACGGGGAATTCATTTTATGTAATTTCTAATGTAAAATCACTTACTATAATAATTAATAGCAATATATTTATATGACGATAGACTTGGAACTTCCAAGACCATCTCCTCTCAGAATCGTTTTTTAAATGCAATAATTGAATACAAATTTAAAACATTCGTTACAATGACTTACTCAATGACGAGGTACGCACTCGACTCCTACAACTGTACTGCAAAGCGGTTACCTACTACCCCTTTTTATATTTATGTTTTGTCGTATGTTGCATCCGTTTTGTTTAAGCAGTATTAGGTACCGGAAACTTCGGAGGGTTTTAGGGTTTTGTTAGAAAATGGTTGGTCAATATGTAAAATTCTGACATTTTTTTTTAAAATTATATTATGTACCTGGAACTGTAATATATTGATTTGTAAATATCGTTAAATTATTATTTATTATTATCGTTAAATATCGTTATAAATTTTGTCGGAAAAGCGTTTACTTAAAAACTTATTCTATTTGATAAGTATATTTACGCGTGAACGCATTTGTTTGGAAATTAAACTGTTGGCAATTAATATTATTTTGTAATCGTATTGAATTGAGACGTATTTTTTCGGAACAGTATTAACTCAGACATTTATTTTGTGGCAAAGTATTTCCATATCATATAACAAAACCTAATACTAAATATAAATTTCCAAAGAAATATTTTCCATGAAATAATTTTCTGAACAAAACCCGTGGCAACATAGGCCATTGGGTGAAGGATATTTTAAGTTGGTTTCTTTTACTGTGGGGAGGATACGATTTTTTTGAACACGTGTATATGAAGCGAGGATTTGTCACTAAAACCCCTGTGGTCATCCATCCGGGACCTATGTGACACCAGCCGATGCTTGCACTCAGAACATGTTTTGTGACTGAGGACAACCACCACGCCACAACATGCCACGATCAGTATAGTATTACAGTTCCAACAAGTAACAACACAAAATATTCACAACAGAATATTTTCAATAAAATTACGTTTCCGAGCAGTTTCGTTGCTGATATAATATATTATTTCAAATAGATTCAATAAAATTCCAACAAATATATGTTTTCAAAGGATTATTTTTCAAAAAAAAAAAAAAAAACGATTGCCTACTTTTGATTTGAAATTTTCTAATATCAAACATTTTTGTATGAACCTATAGTATATTATGTACATTGTACATGTTATATGTAGGTATAATTCAAATTATTCATGGCCTTGGATGAATTCACCAAGATTTTTAGTACTTTGGAAAATAATAAAGATTTTACTGACAGTAGTATAAGGGCTCAAAATCTGAATGTATTTATTGCTGAATGTGGAGTTTGGTTGATTTAAGCATTCAATTATTGGACAACTATACAAATCCAAATAAATCAACGATAGATGAGTGACATTTTGTAATTATTATAATAACATATTATAAAATTATAATTATTATTATAACATTTTGACATTATTTTTTATCTAAATATTATGATAATCCATGATTTTTTTATATTCATAATATGAATTGTACCTATTCTATTATATATTTGTTGTTTTGTACACTGTGTAAAATGTATTTGCTATTTTTAAACAAACTGCGCAACCAGTAACAATTAAAATTTTTCCTTGAAATGTTTGTGTATCTTCTTATTATTATTTATTATAATATAATATAGCCATCTGAAAATAAAATTGTTTTCCTTGTCACCCTAATATATTTTTATAGGTACCTCTATATTAACATTTTAAATATTGCAATATTATTCATATCGAATAAAATTGATCTATTATAGTTTATATTATAAATTACTCAATATAAGGAAGGGGCCCCCTCGATTATTGTGGCCATTCAGCCATTGTGCACAAAATAAATATACATAATGATTAATAACAATATGTACGCATTGCTGAGTGTGCGTACAATATTATAATATTTATATTGTTACAATAATATTACGTTCGGATATTATTTTTCAATCATTAAAATTCCTCATTATCATATCGATATGGTGGCCCAGCATTTTTGGCTGAACGGCGTCCGTGTATTATTATGAATTACCTATTATTTTATATAGATGCTTAGGTAGGTATCTATAATACTACAAAATATGAATGATATATTGTTATAAATGTATAGAACTGTTACAAAACACCATATTATTGTCTTGACGTATGGTAATCTGGCAGGCAATGGGCATTGTGTTCTCGCTACTTCTCGGTATAGAACAACGCTGCGAGCTAATCTGTGCTGAATTGACCTGTAATACGCGATAAACTTGAGTGCAGTATAATATCATTATTAGGTACTGTGTCTTATCGATAAAAAACATGGACTACCGACTTTGTACATACAAAATATAAAATATTACTTGCTGGGTGTCCGCGTTACACACATGATTAGATTTAATGTAATATAGTGTTATTGTGTAACCACTATGGTCCTACAATATAACTACGATCTAGACGGCGCACGATAATAATAATAATAATAAATTATGATACACAAAACAACGAGTAACTGGACACCGCAGTGAACGCAATCGGACATTTCTATTCGGTTGGCTTCTACGTTAAGATGCTGACCAAAATCGTAATTGTATGTTTGGGGCTTTTGTCCGTGGGCCGAGCTTGCGACAATAATAACTTGCAGCCTTTGGAAACGGCCAAGGCGTCGGCGAAATGGATGCAAGATGGCTTCAAAATGTCCATGTTTGGTAACCCGGACAAATACATACCGCATTCGATGTACATTGGTAAGTACCACGTATTACAGATGTGATTTTTCATCAGGTCAATCCATATACCAAGGTTGTGAGTCAAAGAATAGTAAATCCGGCTTTTGCGCAATACAAATCACAATCCCCTCCCATACTTTCATTTACACTCTACCTACCACAAATCTGTTATTCTGTGTTATGATGTAAATTCACCCTGTTAGGTATAATTTCCGTTAGCCTTATTGATTTTGGGATTTTGTTCCGCAATGACCAATAAATAAATATAAATAAAAATAACTTGAAATGTAATCAATGAGATATTAAATAATTAAATATTATTTTATATAAATATTTCTATATAGCTTGATAACTGAATTAATTTTGTGACGTGTAGATCGATCATATTATGAACGTTTAAATTTATTTATACTGTAAATTAATAAATAACTTTACCGATACTTAAAGTTAACAACTATTTAGTTCCCTTTGTAACACATTACCTTTTAAAACGTCTATTTAGTACCTTTTGGTCACACCATCATAAATACTTATCTATATAATATAGTGGATTATACAAAATGAAAATCACTCTTCCCAACAATTGTAACGATATATGTGTATCATAGGGGTACCTAAAAATAATATTGTCTGGTCTGAAACTTGCAGCGAAACAGTCGTGACCTAATTTATCAACTTTAAGAAACCGTACGTACCTACACGTATAATAGGAAAATGAATACATGAATAGTTAATGATACATTGTAAAAAATAAGTTAATACGAAGTATAAAAAAATGCTGTTATGATACTTATTATTTTTGTTTGTCAAAAAAAAAAAAACAATTGAGAAAGTTAAGGTATTGGGTTAAAAATATTTGTCGCTATATTAAACACATTATACATACATAGGAATGAATGGTGTTCAATTTAAAAATTAGGTACATAATATGTAATAAAGTTCAAGTATGTGACTATGTCGTATAATATATTATTTTATATTATGTATTATGTATATTATACTAAACATTATTTAGACTTGTATATAAATTATTATAATGACATATTATATTCTCTGACCAGTCTGACCTTTCTAAAAAGTAAGAAGTATGTATTAAATCATTGCAATATTCGCAGAATAATAATTGAGTACCTATACTTGTTTAGCCGTTTAGGATGTATTATTTTTCATTTGAAGAAGACGTAGGTATCGCTGAATTATTTAGTCATATATTTTAATTTTAAATGATATTATAAAAATTCTTATATTTTAAAAATATTCTTTGTGGTGTTAAACTGTTAAGATGCACAGATTTATCGATGTAGGTAATCCACTCAAAATATGTATTTTTAGTTACCAAAATATGTTTGTCAAACTATAAAATTATCATTGTTTAAATATTTTATATTTCTTGTACATTATACACATGACACCGACAGAAGACTTGTGATATTATTTACTTAACATCAGTTTATTTTAATTTTTCCTTCCTTCCGATTTTTGTAAGTAATTTAGTTTTCTATCAGTTATTACCGAAATTATATAACACCATTACACAACTGAATCCTTCTTTTGATACTTACAAACCATATAAATTGTAAAATGGAATTTAATTCATAATAATATTAACTTATATTATCTGTGTTATATTATATTAATAATATATTTTTTAATTATTCCTTACAATTAACATATAACCGCATACAGCATCCTAATAATATGTATATTATGTGAACAATACGAATATATATCGTCGTAAATCAGATAATTATAAATATATCGGTTACTATGTTAGTACCTATGTTATCAAAGTCAAATAATATTGAGGTATTTTATATTTTTGGTACACAGTATCTGTAAGCATATTATATATTCTATTTATATTATTCAGGCTCAGCTGCCTGAACTAATTTAGCCCGTTATGGGGTGCAAGGAGGTGACATGTAACATTGTAACTCCCCTAGACAAATGTGAAATGATTGTAAATTTTTGTAATTGTAAATAGTAAACTATTTTTATTGATGATATTATAATACATGACATATTACATACATTATCTATGTTATGTATTTATTTTCTGTTATTTAATAAAATCAATATGGTTGGTTCTTAATTATTTTTTTATGATATTGTCACCCCCCATAGGTGATGGACGACATTGATTTAGTATGAAAGTATTAAATCAAAACATTTTGTCTTTATATCTAATAAATACATTTAAGAAAATCACCAATTCATTTTTAGTGTTAACAAAATATTATTTAGTGTTCACTGTCCACAATCCATCATTTAAAAAGCTCTGCTGATTATAATACGTAAATAGAGAAATTACTTGGTTTTTTGGTGTTTAGGTATAGTGTATACACTAAACGTGTTAGTGTGTTAGGCTTGAAATAAACAAAGAATTTTATATATTTAGTTATAATTTAAAACAAGTGTCCAACACAACATTATAATCATCCTAAATCACGTATTATATTATTGACGTGGGTATTCAAATCACAATAAACAAAACTATTTTTGCGTCGCTTTTACCATTTTTTCTAATTTCGTAATAGTCTGGGCTCTATTCATAATCAAACTTTTTTCAGTGCATATTTCGTTTTGAAAATCGCGCAATTGGTCTTCGGCTTGCACTCGTTCGAGCTCTATTTTTTCCGTAATCACGTGTATGCACTTGTTCAACTCACAAATGTCGTCTACCAGCTTTTCATTTTTCCCGTTTCCTTTCTCCAGTCGCTTCATGGTGTCTTCGATTTCCTTCATTATCGTTTCCTGCAGATAATCGCCTTTGGTACTGTTCGAACTGCCTCCGATGTCTTTTTCGGCCAGACTTTCTTTTATCTTGTTGTAATGCATCACGACGCGCATCACGTCCACCCATTCTTTTCTGGCCACCTGCATTCGATAACGTACAAAATATTACATAAATTAAAATGCATCCAGCCACGGATACGATTTTCGCAGCCGTCATTCACCTTGTAAGCCATTATGCCCCTTTTGATTTCGTTGTGTAGATCTTTCTTCACGGAAACTATCAATTTTTCTTGCTTTTCCTGCAGCTGATTTATGATTTTCCGACGTTCCCGCGCCAACAGTGCCAACAACCTGCGTTTGATTGAAGTAATAGTATAATGCTGTAGGTTCGTTACTACTACGCGTTGGAAAATTGACATAAATAATAATCACATTTTAACCAGACATACGGGATATGCCTTGGCCAGCGTTTCGGCCATCTTGCTGGTGGGTTTTTCCATTAATGCTCCTTGCCACATCATTTCGGTCATGGAATTTGAACAGGTTGAGGCTGGGCTAAGTAGAGATAGTATTGGAGAAGTCGAAGCGATTACAAGGTTTTGAAGTTTTTCTTCACGCTCTTCGATCTAGAATATTTAAACGAATCAAATCATGAAGGCTATTGGTCATGATGTTATAGGGCTGGTTACAATCGAGCTTTAGAGCAGTCAATAATTATAAATAGGTATTTATTACTGCAAAAGAAAAATTAAATGTATTTTCCGATTGACGTAGTATCTAAGTAGGGAATGCAACATGTAGGGTGTAATAATCATCAAATTTTAATTATTATGATGTATTATAATAATATTGTATTAATATTGTATTCTTTTATCTTATTATTACTTCTTGTAGTATATTCTTCACTCTTTTTTTCAACATCGAAAGCATTTTTATACGTTTGAATAAATGTGGGTTGAAGTTATCACATCCTTTGCTTTCAGCCTTGAACGTAATAAAAATTAATATAAGTACATGATTTAATAGTACATCCATGTATGTTCAATAAATATTCCTCACTATTAATTTTTCAAGTAGCTTCTCAATGTATGGATCGTGGCAAGCAGTACTGTTAGGATCCTCTTCTGACAACATTTCCTGTTCAATGTTATTATGTAATCTTTTGAAAAATTCATAAGTCAAGGTCCGAGATTCTTTTGACCTTCGATTTGACAAAATGGTTCTAACTTCGGCTGTCAGTTGATACACTTTGTCCTCTTGCTCACAGTTACTTTTCGGTGTGTTGGACACTTCCACTTTTAAATCTATCGGTTTCACTACAGGTGTTTGGCTAAATATTATGTTGTATACAAATTAGAATTGTAATAAAAAAAACAACACGTTTAGTAATTATAATAATAAAATTACTTTTTTTTAGACATTTATAATTTTAGATTCCGAGCTAAGTGAAAATTTTAATGGTTTTACAATATTATAGTACCATACCTGGTTACATAAATTATTTAACGTGGTATCCTATGCAGTAATGATTATACTATAATATTATTCGTTTTAATAACTAATTATAGTGTTAACTCTCAAACAACGTGTTCCTAAAGGTAATTACGTGATGATTAGTGTTTGACGTTAAACACTCCAATAAATTGACTAAATATGCAATCAAAACTATGCAACAAAAAAAAAAAATTGCCACTTAATTTTTTCATTATTGGATGTATATGATTTAAATATCCAATTATACAATTTATTTTAAATCGTAAGTACAATTTGTAATTGGTATGATTTTCTACTCTTATACATCTACAATCAATACATTTATCTGTACATATAGTACATACCTATTATAAAATAAATACTGGTTTCAAAGTATAAATATTTGGTCATGAATATTTTATATTGCTTTTAATTCACGTTCTTTTGAATCTGCTAACCTAGTAATTGATAAATTGTATAAATTATCCAATATGTACTAAAAAAAACCGTACAATCAGGTTGTATTCAAATATGTTTGCACTGAAGAAGACTTGATTTTTCATTTATAAATTCTTAATCCAAAATGGTAAAAAAAAAAAAAAAGTTGGAGCCCTAATGATTACCACCGGGCCTAAACTTTAAGTCTACCTACTCAATATTTGAATCCTAAATTGAGGCTAAAATATGATTATAAGCTAAGGATCTTACATTGGTCGACCGCATGAATTAACCCAACAGCCTGTACTTCCACCCACCGTCACGGCAACGTATGCAAACAATCCGGCATTTTCAGGCAAAGTCTTGCACGCTAAGTAAGTACGCCCATCGTTGGACAAATGATTCAAGTCGACCATTTCCAATTCTCGATTTTTAACGAATTTCGTCCATTTCTGTTTGTTTTCGTTCATCTAAACAATTGAGCCGATTTAATTGTATTGTTTTTTTTTTTAGTACCTATAGGTGGCGTTTATGAGATTTGTCACCCACTTCTTTTTCTTTTTCGACTTCCAGGCTGGCTTTGGTAGTTATTTCCGGAAATACGCCATCCAAAGACAACGGACCCGGTTTTGGGGTTTCGTTGAACGGAGTGGTCATCTTACGGGTGTTCATACTTAAAATAAGTTGCGACAAATATATATTACGTGCTTGTTTTTCATTTGTATTTTTATACGGTTCAATTGCGAGTTTATGTAACCATTTCTAAGATTATATAGATAATACATAAAAATAAAAAATTACCGAGAAGACAAGTTAGTTTAGTTTGTTACTTTGCATATCTCTTTTTCACTTTCGGATTTTAACGAATCAAATGCTGCTTTAAAATGTTCTAAAAAGAATAAAAAATCCTCGTTAATTTTCTCTTCAATACTTAGCTGCTGCACTGTTCCAGCCATTATGTTACTATAGATGTCCTTTCACAAAAAAACGTGTTCAATATATATTTTCTAAACAGAATTGATTGCGTTCATTGACTTTACGGTATAGTAGTTACGAGAAAAATAACATGTCTACTGTTTAATATTAAGTTGTTATTTTATGTAAAACTAGAATGTAATATATCTATAGATACAAATATTGTAAACGTTTCTATGGCATCAGGTGGATATTAATTAAAAATATAACTCGTCGATAACAATAAATACATTTATTATTAATATTAAAAATATATTATCATACCTGGCCATGATGTAATCGGGCAACGATAATAACTACGTTATCAGTTCTATACAGAATATATTACTAGCTGACTTGGTAATTCTTTACTTTTTCCATAGGTTCTTGCGATTATTCAACTCCTTTTGGGTGTAACACGCTGTAGAAGCAATGTCTTTTTAAGTGTAAATATATTATTTTTTAATTTATAGCCATCCTGACCAGCGTTGTCCGTGAGATTAGCGTGTGATTATGAGAGCAGTATCTATATTATCAGGTAGGGAAACTACCTGTGGTAGATCGCGGACCCCGCGTGGTGCGTACGTAAGTGTATAATTTATTTCTTAAGTCCAAAGTATCAAACAATTCAAACAATTTGTCCACCGAAATCGTTGTTCGAACTCGATACATTCTGTACCAAAATACACAGGCTTATAGCATTAACAATAATAATTAATATTATTAATACCAATAGCAACCATTTATAAACAAAAAAAGTCCATAATAAATCTCAAAATCCCTGTTTGAGAACCTCTTCAAGAACCTATTGTTTACCATTTTCGCAACAAAATGTAGCCTATCTTCTTCCCCGACGTCTAATCTACCTCTGTACCAAATTTAATCACAATCTGATGAATGGTTTAGAATGCATCATAAAGGACATAGAAACAACTTTTGTGTTTTATATAGATATATTGATTATAATATAGCATAATGTGGTAATAACTAATAATAGTAATATTTTTTCACTTATAGTAACGATTGAAAGTGAAAATTTGGATTTGAATTCCTTTCTGGTAACTGCTGAACGCGATTGCCACAGTACGATAAGCGAAGATTGTGGTGATCCCGCATCACCAGACCGCTCAGGTTCACTTCAACTACTTTCGTCTGATGACAGTGCGACATTCCATCCGGAGTGCATAAACACCATCATCCAGTCTCAACCGGAAGTCAAACTGCAAAAGTTGCGTTTCGTATGGTCAGCACCAAAAACAGGAAGCGGATGCGTGTACTTAAGGTATTTAAACGATATTGACTTGTTAATTGGTATATATCATTAAGGTACCTATTACAATGTCAATTCAATTTTATTTAATTAAAAATAGTTAAATTAATTTCATATTGATTTCACTCTTTAATGCCTAGACCAGCTATAACTTATGTCCATGCAGAGTTTAATAAGTCGTGAGCTTAATAAGATAATGATGTATTTTAGGGCTTTGATTACCTATGAAAACAGCTTTAATAAATATCAGAATACTGAACTGTTAAAGGAACTATGCGAAATGTCTTTCGATACAGTTACGAAGCAAAACGCACCGGCTGAAACCGAAAGTTGTTGTGCTTGTGACGAAGCCGTTTATGAGGTAGGTAAACAACCAATAAAAATATAAAAAATATCTTGAACCTGCGTACCTGTACGACTGTACACTATCTTTTAGTTGTGTGAAAGCAGCATCTGTTTTTAAAGTCTCTTTTTTTTTGTCAAACTGAAATAATAGATGAAATTTGAAGGACTTTGGTCATCTGAAACTCATCCGAAAGACTTCCCGAGTGCTTTGTGGCTTACTCACTTCAGTGACATAATTGGAGCGACACACGATAAAGACTATTCCTTTTGGGGTGAGGGTCAATGGGCCACCGACGGTGTTAGACAGTTGGCCGAATGGGGTTCAACTGCGATTTTGGAATCCGAACTCAGGCAGCAGGTACCCAACCGTTTTATATGCACATCGAATGAAATCATACTATTTGTATACTTATTCACGATATTCAAGGCATTGTTTTTAATTGTTAGAAGAAACATTTAAGAACTTTGATCAAAGCCGCTGGTCTTTGGCATCCACGAGTAAACGCTAACGCCACGTCTAAATTCCGGGTTGACAAGAAACATCATTACATCTCATTGGCTTCTATGCTCGGTAAAAGAATAATAATACAAATCATATAAATATATAATATTATGGTTATCATCTTTCGTCTGTAAATTAATTTTAGGCCCGTCCCCTGATTGGATAGTAGGTGTCAATGGCCATAATTTATGTGAAAAGAACTGTCAGTGGGTTCAAAACCGAACTATAGACTTGTACGTCTACGACGTTGGAACAGACAGCGGACGTACATATATGGTAACGTAATAATACAATATTGTGTACTAATGTCTATATATATTACTAATATTTTAAATATAGTTTCTGCTGTACTTACCTACTAACTTAAAATAAATGTATTAATATAGGCTGATATTTGAAATGAAACCTTAATTTAGTAATTTAGATGTGTGTCGACGGTCGAACATTCAACATTCTTAATATCTACGAACGGTATAATAACAATTAAATAATAAAAAAAACGGTATAATACAATAGGTACCAATTAAATCATTCCAAATTAAGATTATTTAAGTTTGTTCAAAAAAAATAAAATATGATATTAAGGTAAGTAGGTTACTTACGTGGTAACTTCGGTACCTATATGTTACATTTTTTTTACCAACTATAGGCAAATACATCGTAATTCTAGACAAGGATAGCTGTTTAATTAGACAACCTTCATAATAATATATTTATTTATTTTTTTTTTTTTGAAAAATTTTCAATTTGCACATAGGTAATTATTATGTGGGTAGGTGCAATACGAATTAGTTATTAAATCAATTTATTAATTTACATTAAAAAAGCTTGAAGGTGTGAGAACTATCCAGTGACGCCGTGACGGCACTTCAGCGTGAATCTATATGTGCTTATGGTGTGTAATTGTGGTGTATTCAATTAGGTTTCGAGGCCACTGTCACCAGAGCCATTCGAGAGGGAGGGAGATTTCCGGGAATAAAGTTTGTTAAGAGGTTATATTATATGCATGGTTTTGAAGGTGCTTTCTAAATTATGAATACAGTTTTTTGAATGTGGAGTTTAGTATGGTGGGTATCGTTTTAGAAGAGAGTGGGGAAATTGATTATTAGTCAAAGGATTTAATTTTGTGTATTTGATTTTTTAGCTAAGCTCCATATACCATTTGAATATTTACCTAGGCTAGGCCAGAGTTATTTAATTTTAATTTTTCTAAGTGGATGCTTGTGTTTTGCCCAATTTAGGCGTTTGTAGAAGGTTAATAATAGGTACCTATTTGGCTATGATGACTTTAGGTATGGGTTAATTTTTTAGTATACTCAATGACAGAGATCAAACGTTGTGTTGACCGATTTATTTATTTTTTTCTGTTAAACGCTATGAGGGACTAAAATAGAGATAGGGTCGATAGGGAGATAGTGGAGATGGTTTGGAAGGATGTTGGATGCCACATCAGGATCAACATGAGTGAAGTAAACCACTTTGTAAGAATCTTAATCCGCTACATGTATTTGTGGGTACATGGGTTGGTTAGTGGAGTAAAAATCAAAAAGTATTGGGGACGTGACTCCGGATAATATTGTAGAGATACTGGAGAGCTTTGAGTATAACCTACCAAACCTTGATACCCAAACTTGAAAGTAATACATTTATTTTGTTTATTTGTATTTTATGTTTAAATTACTAAAATTAAGTTTTACTATTGTGATTTAAAATAGACTTATCTATCATCGTCCAATGTCAAACAGACTTTTCCCATGACCTAGCATGGGATGAATAATATTTTATCATCAAAAAAAAAAAATTTAACTTTTAATAACAGCTAAAAAGCAAAACAATAATATAGACGTATATAATTGTTATCACAGAATGTTGTGGTAGGAAACGGGAAGGAAATTATTTAAATTTACATTTCGTTTATTTCAAAAGCTAAATTTTAAAATAAAAGTTTTATTTAAATTTTTAATTCCTTAACATAGGTAGAAGGAACTAAAGACAGTCTACGCAAATTTCAAATTTGCATGATTTGTAAGCAGAAGGAATATTTTATCATAATCAATTATGTTCATTACATTAAATATAGTGAATAAAAAATTTTTAAAAATGTACTGTTTTTCAGAATATTGTGTATTTAGTAATAATAACATAAATAATCCTATTTGGAACAAACCAAAACTATTAATCGTAAGAACAGAAAAGTTTATATAGTAATTACAGAATTTGATTAAAAAGTTCCACGATTGACGTTTATAATCGCTTTAATTATTTTTACAATATAAACATTTTGTCAATCTTTTTAAAATGTTATTTTCATCTATGAACGTAAATTATAATGATATATTGACGACTAACGTGCTGTAAATTGTAATTTATGACGATCCCGTATAAGTGTATAACCACTATAACCTACCTATAATAGCCACTAAATTACTTATAATAATTACAAAAAATATTATTCAGTGTGTATTCCATTAAGAATATATTAGTTACACTTGAAAAAAATTGATAAATTATTGAATTTATGAATCGTTTGTATACATCTGTGTGCACACATTTCATTCAGTAGTCAAAATTGTTTTCTAAATGGCATTTAGGTAATCATAATATTATTAACACAGTATATGGTCGTATGGAACACGCTAAAACCCATATTAGTACTTACTACCTATAATGTTGGAATGTATATTATGAGTATATTTAGCATTTAATAATCAGTAACATAATACTATTTTGTTATAATTATCGAAGTAATATCGTTTCCACAGAATAAATTAAATATCATTTATGTTCTGTGTTACTACACTCTATGCGTGCATTTTCCTTACAGTGTTCCTGTAGTAAATAATAACATTTTTTAAATTTTTTTATATAGGTACATAATTATTTTATTTTTAGACTTTCTTGTGTTGTATTATAAAAATGTGTTATTCGTAAATACAGATATGTAATATTCATGCAGTAAATAGGTGTACAGAGTATAATAATGTTTATAATGATCTTGATTATACATTTTTTTTTTATTAATTAATTATGAGTATTTAGAACATTAATTGTTATTTGTACTAAATAAATTCAAATCCATGACACAACGTTAATTAGACAGTCTAGTTAGAGCTCGAAGGTTCACGTATTTGCATATTAATTTATTCTGTTAATAATAGTAGTTGCGTGCACCTACGTCATACGAGCATATTATTATGATACATTTTTAATTTATTTGACGATTTTCTTAATAAAAGCCATGTTGACCTGTTTAAAATTATATTTGAAATCTTAATATTTCACTCGTTAATCCATTTGATTTGTCTACATTTCATTAGACTTAAAGTCAATTTTATCACACTTGTTGCTCTGCACTTCCCAACTTTATATTTTTTTTTTTATATTATTATGTTATAAAGTTCTAATTCTGTCGTATAAATTATTTTAATTTTCTATAATAGGATGTCTTAATGTCTGTATGACGTTTTAAATGAACATATACTATAATATGTAAATAATATTATTTAATTTAGTCAATACGTTTGTACTATTATACAAATATCTCTTTACACGAACGACTGAAATCCTGAATAGGACATAGGTACTAAATAAAAACAATAACACATAGTAAAAAAATAATAAACTAAATGTTATGAGATATCTTTCTGCTGGTACTTGTATAGTTGAATCATGATTACAATCGAGACATTTTGGAATTTGAGTTAGTAACTTTGAAATAATGATAAACTGAAATAAATATTATTCCCGTTACATGAAGTTTAATTAACTGCTTTGCGTCATTTGATTGAACTTCTATCGAGGATGTCAGCAGCAGCTCAATATGTTTTTTCTTTCTCGGACCAAATTGCAGCATAGATAAAACACATTCATGTAAATTCATAGGTACCTATTAGTACTACAGTAGAATAAATTCATTTTTGCCGAAATATTGCTTTAAAAATGACCTTGTGTGTATAAAATATAACAATATACTCTAAAAGTTCTCAAGTACTCATAATATTTTTAAATTGCAACAAAATAACTAAAATTTATTCTTGGTTTTAATATATAATATTATGCAAATTTGAACTTAAAATGTTTAAAAAAATAACTGTTCTTATATAATTTTACATTTTTTGGTTACAGTATGAAATATTTATGACAATCCTTATTTTAAATTTTACGAGTTAATATCCAATGTCTAACTTCAACAGCTCATAAAAAATGAATTTGACTTTCCGGTTTTTTTTTTTTTTTTTGTTAAATGTAGGAAAACTTATGAGGAATCTTGAAATTAATTTTCAAATAGTAAATATACAAAAAAAAATGTTATTAATTTCCAACTCAAAATATTTTGTAAATTTTCGTTGATTTTATTGAATTTTTCGGAAATTTTAACTTTGGAGCTCAATATTTTACCTATGAAGTTTTTTTTAGTTTTTTTCTTAGCGTATTAATGAAACACTGATAATAATGGTTAATCAAGTGAATAAATTAGTTAATTTGTAAATTATTATTTAATATTAGTAGTAGGCACTACTGTAATAGGTAGGTTAGGTTATACTTAGATTATACACTAAGATTACAGATGCTCGTCTATTATTAAATATTGATAAGATTCTTATTATTATGCAATAAACTAAATTTATATCTTTCAATCATGTTATTAGTATTATATATTATGTATAATTATACTTTTAATATCATTAAGTAAACATAAAACAATAATATTTATAATATTAACGCAACAAAAATTTGTAATGCTTAATAACCTATGTTTATAATGAACGGTCCTTACATATTATTTATTTAAGTTTCCCACATAATCAGTGAAATCATTTGTATTGGTAAAATATTTAAATGAATCTCAATGATAAAATAAATAAAATGTTTGATATTGTTGCATACACAATTATATACATAAAATATATTTAAATTAATTTTAGTCACACAACCAAGAGACCCTACCACATGAACGCATTTTTCGGATCACCCCGATGTATCCGGATGATCCCAGGTCACCTTTTTTCAACGAAAATGGCAACGAGATGGCTCCTTTGGCCCGCTTACATTTGAACAGAATCAACCTCATACCGAAGTCTTGTTCGGACAAGATTATAACAGATTTAATGGACGAACTCGTAGTGTCGGAGAACTCACAAGATATATTAAGGCGTAAGCAACAGCTTTTGTTTTATTTGTTTTGGTTTATTAGATAATATCATACCTACCTACCTCACCTACATAACTATAATGTCCATGTTTAGCTGAATGTGCTGTATCAAAGTACTCTGAATGGAATGAATGCAACGTGACTTGTGGCAAAGGTCTCAGATCGAGAAGCAGAAACTATTTAAATGAGACCGCAGCTCAGCAGTTTGGTTGCGACAGACAATTGGTATCTAAAGAAATGTGCCTGTCTTCGGTGCCAATTTGCCCGTAATTATATTTTATTTGATATTATACCTAATACTTTTGTAGTTTGGAGGGAAATGGGAGCGAATGAAAATTATTTAAAAATAATATCGTTGTTAAGATTTGTTATAGCTCCAGAAATGTAAGTAATAATTAGTTGTAAATTATCTAATTAAACATACTCCTAAATCAGGTTTTTAATTTCGGTGACTTTCGAGGAAAGAAATGTCATGTTGTAACGCTCATTTTCAATTCTAACTTTTAACAATATACAGGTAGCGAAAATCGTTATAATAATGATGTGACCTGTTTGAGTACTGTTGCCTTATAGAGGAAATTTATTTTATAGCTAGATTCTAACATTTTTAATTCACCTCTGTGTGATGTAATTGTTTTAAAAGATTATTTTTTTTTTTTTATTGTAGATTTAGTGATCGGTATAAAACTATTTGAACTAAAAAATATTTTTGAGGTTTATACCAAGTATTTATTTACCCTTCTAAGAGTTCAAAATTATATCTTAATAGCTATGCTATTTCCATTCATCTCTATTGAAGATTGATGACAGTTTGTATCTACTTAGCTATTTGTTAATCTAAAAATGTAACATTGCTTTACTTGTAAATTACGATTGGATAATCATTTTCAATTTGATTTATTATTATAATTTTTCGGACACGTTGTCTTTGAATTTATTGTGTTTGTATTAGTTTTAAATTAGGTACCTACTAGTTTTTTTTTTTTAATTTAGTGGTGAGACAGAACAAGAAGACGACAGTCTGCTAATAGACGATGCTAAATGCAACACCACGGAATGGACACCGATGTCTGAGTGTTCAGTGTCGTGTGGTATAGGATTCATGTTCCGCACTAGACAATTTTTAGATCACACGAGTTACAAAAAGTGTCGCCACATCGGACTTGTCATGAAGAAGAAATGCATGCAACCAGCTTGCACTAAAGTCGCTGAACAGGTGATCCAAACATTATAAAAAATATATTTCTATGACACCAGCATTTTAGAAAAGAAATTTAGGAGTGGAGCTTACACATTTTATTTTTCTAGAAAAATCTGCTGTATTTAAAGGTTGAACGCCATAAGACCTAGGTTTGGATATCAACTAGATTTCGATGACTATGCCAACAATGATTTTAATATATAAAATATATTAATTGAATATATATAAAATTTAAATATATTTTTGTTATTTTATGGTTATATTTAAATGGGTCTTAGAAATAATAATAGTCTTAGGTTTTCACTATTCATATTGAAATATAGTGCATAATCTGAATTTAATGATAATAGAAACCGATAAATATGATAACCAATTTTGGGTATCATTTAATAAAAGTATATTAATATTAGTGAGACCCAAATTTGGTGTTCATGGCAATGTAAACAAATTCACCAAGGGCCAAATTTGGGTCTTACTGCAACTTTGGAAATAACTCAAAAACCCACATTATGGCGCTCAACGTGTGTTAACCATATAATATAATTATTTGTGTCTTAGTCTTCTTTCACTAGCATATGCCCGGTAACCGAATGGAGTATGTGGAGTCCTTGCAACGTAACTTGTGGCCAAGGGTTGTCGATCAAGTCTCGGTTGTTGCTTGTATCCGGTGAAAATTACACAAAATGTATCGATAAAGTCGTGCTGGAGGAAACTCGAACGTGTAACGGGACGCGGCCTACCTGTGAAATAAACTCGTCTCTCGCAAAAGGTGAATATCAAAATCAAATTACTTATTAAAAGTAAAATATTTTTCTTCTTCTTCTGTATAATATACAGATTTAATTCACTAAAAACTTTAACGTTTTTAATATTGTTCGTATTACCTAAAGCAATGATATTATCCGATAAAACTGAACCTATCTTGTATTCTTGTGTATAATATTTAACTATAATAAATATTTTTATAAATTCGAATGTGGAATTGCGTTTCTATACCATGTTCTAAATAAGAAACACCCAGACTTAACAAATATTAGTTATTTCCCTTTACTTGTGAGATCGTTCAGCTAGTTAGGCTATTGCTATTATAATATTCTAAATTAAACTGTATAGTGTATTGCCCTATAAGGTACATTAAGAATATCTCATATTTTCTCAAAGTAAACATTATGCATTTGAGTGGTATTAATAATTATTGTTATTTATAATATTCGTTTATGGATGTGCATTCGGACTCGTGTATTTTCTACCTTATAAAAATATCTATTGCTAAACAAATTTACAACATGAAAACATGAAATATTATTTTGGAATACAAACAGTTATTAAAAAAATGCCTACCAACGTAGGTATTTAGTAATTTTATTATTATTATTATTTTTTTTTTATTGTAAATTCATTTTGAAGTGACATTAAATTATTGAAAAATGACTGAAATCAAATTACATTTGATTCAGAATGGGATATATTAAACAAATGATTACATTTATGAAATAATTTTTTTCCTATTACACTAGCATATTACTAGTTAAATTTAAACGTTAGATTTAAATTTCTGCATTACTGCGAGGACACCGCTAAAAGATTTAAAAAGATAATAAGTAGGTAGCTGTTTTTATTTTACTGAGTTCTTGCAGTGTTATAAACTAACCATATAAATTTCAAAGAAAGATTGAGTGTTTATCGTATTCATTAATATTTTCCTCTTAACATACCTACATTCATTACCTATGTACATATAGACTCATAGTGTGCAAATACGGGCATTGAAGTCATAACCGAGTAACCTGACCCGATCACATATATGTTCGATTATATATAGATGTATTTTAAGTATAATAGATAATATCATAAATATAATTTATTCCATTGTGTCTTCTGTATTCGTTAATAATTGAATATTTCATTACTGCTTTAACTATTATAATTCATATTTCCAACGGTTCGTATACAAACGTAATAAAGTAACATTTTATGTTTTAAAAATCAAATGAAAACCGATTGTCAACATTTTGGCCACTTAAATTGAATCCTTCTCAGAATATTTCATTAGGACAAAATATGGTTTAACGAATAAGTAGAATGCACATAGAAAATGATCAATGAGACTTTTTTTTCTACTTGACAAAATATTATAATAGAAGTTTGGTGTTAAATACTAATGTCTAACTATTAACCATTAATAACAGACAACCATAAACACGTTACATGTATAATAAATAAGTACCTATTTTAAAATGACAAAAAATAAGATTATCTAATACGACTTGAAAACAGTATATAATAGTTTACAATAATATTACAGACATGAGACATCGTATTAAAAGGTACCTAATGCAAACGTGACCTATATTGTAAAAAGTGTGAATTCTCTCTAAAATAAATCATAAATCAATTTTTTGTTTTCAGAAATATGTAGCATGGAAAAAAACGAAGGAGCTTGTAACGTAAACGCTGTTCGTTATTATTACGATAAAGCATTTAAGACATGTAAACAGTTCAAATACGGCGGATGTCGGGGTAATGAAAATAATTTTAAAAGTGCCAAAGAATGCTATAAAGTGTGCCACGGTGTGGTTTGAAGAAATGAAGTACTTACTTCAATAATAAGTATCGTTAGGTAGAATAGTTATAACTCATAACATACAAAATAATAATGCGACAATATATTATAACTATAATGTATATAATAGAATAGAATAGTGCAAATAGATGTTAAAAACTTATATTATATACGCACAGTACGTACACTTGTTAAACTTGACAGACATGGTTAACCAACATTTTACTGTGGATTTGTGTTTATATTATTTCCTTAAGTTGTGCAATTTTTTTTTTAATCGTTCGTGTTTTGGTACGCCGTCAGAACCATTAATTTTGTATTCATATAATATTATTAATACCATTGAAAAATAAACAACATTTTATTCAAATGGAATATCATCATTGACATTACCATTACATTTATTTTGGTTATAAGTTCCAGTCTTATATAATCTTCGATTATATGGAAAGCTATATACCTATATTACCTACATGTTATACCATATTGAATATTCACATACTATTGTGGACTGAATTTTATGTACCTACCTATCCATATAGTCTATATGTTTATCAGAAAGCAGTATACTTAATAATTTATGCGTATGTCATAATTTGTAATAAAGTATAATAGGTGTATTGACTATTATGACGTATTTTATTGTTACCGTTTCATGAGTTTAAACTGGTTTATGTTGTAAACAAAATGCTAATTAAAAATATATAGGATAACATTTTTTACCTATTAATATTTTAATTGATACAATAATACAGTAATACAGTAATTTACTGTGCAGCTATTTGAATCAAACGATGTTTTACATTAAATTCAAGAGTACCTACCTCTTCTGGAAAAAAAAAACTGGATTAGGCATTGTAAAGTACCTATTTGAATTTAACATGTACTATTTATTGTACAAGCCCAATATATGAATAAGAACAATTTAATTTAGTAAACCAAATTTTTAATTAGTTATTATGCTTCAGTTATTTTTTTTTGACCTCGGAAATGACGTAACATCCTCACGATAACATGCTTAAATTTATTGAATTTTGATTGTTAAATAGATCAATTATTTAGTGTTATCTATCGGTTAAACATAAAAAAAGCGGGTAAGTTGATGTAGCTCTGCTCTACAGTAGGTTACAAATGGGAAATGTATAATAGATTGTATTAAACTTGAATTCAATTATATAATATCATTGTATAAGGAAAACGATTCTGAGCGGAGACGGTTTATCAGTCTGGATTTTTTTTAATTTGTATTGTTTATTATAGCCTTTAAGTTCAATTAATATTATAATATTATAATTTTTTTATTCGCTGCAACGGTGATAGACAAATCGTTAGAAATTAAAATCCAATTTTAAGCGGTTTTTCGTAATTTGTCAGTAGTTTTTCCCCTGGAATTAAATAACTACTGAGAAAATCGAAAAAATGACGTCTATAAAGTACCACCCTGATCCAATTTTTTAAAAGATAAGGTACTATATGTTGAAATCGAAGCACTTCTTCTGGTAAAAATTGTATGTACAGGATATAAAAAAAAAAAATAATAAACACCATTGTAAAACAACTAGCTTAGAATCTAAAATAGATAGACACATAAAACCTAATGGTTTTGAAGTCGTTTTGACAATACTTTGTGTAGAGGAGGCAATTAAAAATGTCTCATATCTATATACCTATATTTTATATATTTTACTGGTGAGATTGGGATAGTAACTGTTATTATACTTGCTTATCGGTTATATCTATTTACTATACCTACCAGTAGGTACACCGTACAGACAATGGGCTCACACGAATTGCCTCCCATTTGACCATCGAATTACTCTCCGATTTAAAAAATATCATTCCCTTGAATTGCAATCTATTTTAGGTAGTGACCCTCTTGTACTAGAATCGTCTCCGGTAACTACTGTGATTAATCGATTTCAAGTTCAAATCACAAACATAATTTTTTTTTGAACTAAAAACAATTGTGAAAGCCTACACGAATTAAAGTTTAAAAGTTAGCTTATTAAAAATGTATTTTTGTATATTATGATTAGTGGCCAATGATTTAATTTTCAAGTGACAATAGCAAGTATGCCTAAAATAAATGTTATAATTAACCAAGCAAAACTTGACATATTATTTTATTTAAGTTAAAATGTGTATAGGTAAAGGTACCTTAAGATATAGAATACTAATCAATACAAATAATAACTTAAAAAGTAACAAATAACTTAACTTTATCTTAAAGTTCCAACTAATTATGTTATCGATTCCCAGCCTTGATAAATAATAATGACTTAATTAAACGCCACTTTTGAGATGTGGATTGCCAAGATATAAAATATTAATAAGTAATAACTACCTAGTGGTAAGTACAAAGAGTGAAATAAATATTTCAAGAAAGTAGCAATATTGGCAAATACAAATAAAAACATTACGGAACTTAAGTACCTAACTAGTATTTTAAACGTCTGTTGGAAAAAAAGTAGTACTTAATTGATGTAAAATAACATGCGATATCTATTGCATTTAATACCGTGTCACAAATATTATAATAATATAATTTAGTCTGTACAGTAGTTAGTAATATGTTACCGTTTTACATCATGATCTTAAACAAATGTAAGGAAAAAAATTTAAGTAAATTGTTTTTTAAATATAAGTTCAAATAAAAAAAGGTGGGTACTAGGATGTCGCTCTGCTGTACAGTAGGTTACAAGTGGGTCACTGTATAATGGAAGGCATTAAATTTGAATTCAATGATATAATATCATTGTATAAGAAAAACGATTCTGAGCGAAAACGGTCAGTCATCCTATGATATTACTAAGTATATTTGATGATATTATTGTGAATAAAGTAATTTATATATAACCTATTTATCTATCTACTTAACCTTGTTTTAAATTTTTAATCCTTAGCTATAAAAGTTGAACATTTTATACATTTTTAACTGAAAATAATTATTAAATTTTAAATTTAATACATTTTGTCAAAGTTCAAACTTTCAATGCTTATAAAAAAAATTGTGCCTATGTATTTTCATGGTTTTTCAACTGCTATTGTAACAATACATCAGGAGCCTTGCATTAAATTTTCGCGATTTTTTTACCCAATAAATAAAATTGTATTGATATTTATAGAAAAAAAAACTAAAAAAATTGAAAACTGACAATGTCTGTAAACAGCTCAAAAAGAGACAAAATATTTTCAAAATTTTATAGTGTATAGAAAATGAAAATATAAACATTCAGTATAATTTTAATTTATTTACAGTTATTCATTTTTGAATAACAACAAAATCGCTTTATGAGAAATGGAGTGAATATCCAATGTTGAAAAAATTTGAATTTCAAACCCTCATAAAAGTTTAATTTGACTTTCTTATAGACATTTTTTTTTGATATAGGTAGATAATCTTATAGCAGTCTTGTTTTACACTTTCAAATCTTAGATTTAAAAAGAAAAATTTTATGAATTTCTAACTCAAAATAATTTGCAAATTGTCGTCATTATACGTATTTGTTAATATTTGAACTTTAAATGATTATTAATAAAAATTTTGACTGGATTTTTAATTTTTTTCATCTGCCTTTGAAACAATATACTAGGATCTTTCTATTAAATTTTCAACCTAACCAACAAATAAAATTTTATTGATATTTATAGAAAAAAAAACTAAAAAATATTTGGAAAATGCTAATATAAACATTCAGTCAAAATGTCATGTACCTACGGTCATTTGTTTAATAGTTGCACCAAAAGTCAAAATCGATTTATTCGAAAACAGATTTTGCATACAAATTCCCGTTTTTCTCACGAAAATTATGGATTTTGATTTCAACTATAATATTATCATGAGTTAGCAATCTATTTTATTATTTCATATTTGTAGGGTACCTGTGGTGATTATTAAAATCGAATTAATATTTGATTTCGTCTCAATTCCCAATATTTTATTATAAGAAACTAATATAAAAAAAATTAATTAAAATATTTAATTTCTGAAACTAAGATACTATGAAATATCTTAGTTCATGATTCTAATTTATAGGTAATCAAAACATTTACAACTAAAGCAATTTGGTTATGATACCTCTGCAGGGAATGCCATGGCATACCCAGCATCCCCCCTGAGCACGCCTATGGGTGGCAAGTTTGGAGTGGAATTTTTTGTAGTGTTTGGATACAAATGTGGTTACGATTTTAGTTGAGCTTCCCAAATAATTTTAAATTTGCATAATTTATTAGAAATAAAAATAATTTTTGAGACACATAAAGAAGAATGATTTATACTAATTTCTAGATAATTAAAAACAGTTTTATAAATTTATACCTACACAATATTTTAATAGTACGAATTTATGTAATTAGGTTTCTTGGTTACTACCTATATAGAACTACCGTCATGTACATCTGTTAGGCACAGATGCAGGGGGAGCTAAGAGGCTTTAGCCAACCTTATAAATAGTCTCATAATCCATAAATTTAAAATATAAATAGAATTGTTAATATTGTTAACAAATCATATCGATAATGAAATTGATTTTTTCCTCAAACAAATGCAGCCCTCCCCCCCTTCAATTTCAGATCCATGTTGACCACTCCTCATAAATAATATTACAGTTTATTTTATTGGTATTATGTAAATAATATTTTTTACCCAACAAATAAAATTTTATTGACGTTCATAGAAAAAAAAAAACTAAAAAAATTGGAAACTGAAAATGTCCGTAAACAGTTAAAAAAATCAAAATATTTTGAAAATTGTATCGTGTATAAAAAATGCTAATATAAACAACCAGAGAAAATTGCATGTATCTACGGTAAATTGTGAGTTACCCCAAAAATTAAAATCGACTTTTTTCAAAAACCGATTTTGCCAAAAAATTCCTGTTTTTCCTTATTTTTTTTTACCAGGTGCTTTTAAAAACATCTGGGACTGACATCATATTATAACACTAAGATGTTATAACATGTTATGATACTTTTGTTATTCAAGTAATTTATTTTACTCTTTTACCTTAGTAGGTTCAT